TTAAAGCATGTGGATCAATTGTGTGTTTGAATGACAAGTTCATGTATGGGAAAAGGGAGGCTTACTTTACTTCAACAAATGTTCTGCTTAGAGTTACTACAAAGAAGTATGTTAATCAAATATTGTTTTTTTAAGTAAACTGAATAATTAGGAATACATTTATTTAAGCAACTTATTTAATTGCATACTTGGTTTCTACTCCCCGCCAACTAAATTTAAGTGTCTAAAACTATACTAAATAATATAAACTGAGATAATATACTATATACATAGTTATGTAAATATGGCAATTATGCTAAGAATTAAAATGGCGTGTAATTGTGAGGGTAAAGTAATTATGGTAGGATCAAATGGTATTGCTAAATCCCCAAAACCTCCTAAAACACACTGTAGAAAACCAAACAATTCAATTGTGATTGACTCACTTGGTATATCAATAAGAAAATTAAATATTTATAAGAACCTATTTTTTGGTTTTTGTGAAAAAATACTTGCGAATACACCACAAACCTCCAAACATACTGCGAACCCCATCCAAACCCTTTAATTACGATTGTAGAACTCTCTTTTTCTAAAAAAAAAAAAAAAAAAAAAAATAATAATAATAATTTGATGTTCATATAAACTCATTGTTTGTGGGGTTTACCAATACCCGGATTGAATTTCTGGAAAATTGTGATTCCGCTTACTTGAAATTGGCCACAAATAAATTATTTTAGTATTAATAAATGCATGATTTGTTGATTTATTGATTATGTTGTTGCTAATTTTTAACATTTAAATGGAAAAAAAATAAAAATTGTTATTCATGGCTTTTTTTATCTTTGAATATTTTATCATTGAATATGTAATTTCTGCAAAAAGTAAAATGTAAATGGCAATTTTTTGATGTTAGATTCCTTTTAAAAACTAAAATATTTCAGTTTAAAAAATGCATATAATGATTTTTAAAAAATCAGTTTTAATACAGAATTTTATTATTGGGGCCATTTTTACCTACTCTGTCATTTGGGGCCATTTTTCCGGAGCCATTTTTTCCTGGGCCATTTTTTCCGGGGCCATTCTTATCGTACACCATGCTGACGACGTAGCACAGACAGGGGAAAGTATCACACGACTTCAAAACATCATGAACCAATGGGACACTGAACTTACCAAGGCGGGCCTGAAGCTTAGTTACAGCAAAACAACTCATGTAGTATGGTCATGTTCTGAGAATGCCAGACTCCAGGAATGGCATTGGAAGAATGTATAATTGGAAACCAAAAACAAAAAGACCAAAGACCAACAGGCCGACGTAGGAAACGATGGGAAGATCCGATCAAAGATATCACGAAATGGGAGAGGAAAAGCTTTGCAGAGATCAAGGCTTTGACTTAAGATAAATCTGAGTGGAGGGCACTAGTGAAGAGGCTTTCAACTGACAGGCCAACTTGCCTACAGACGTCTGGGTGAGCAGGTGAGCAGGAGGCCCAGGGAGGGACTTTGACAGATGGAAGGTCTATACCACCTCATACCTCACCATGGTTGGGGCTGAGGTAAGAACATTTACGATTATGTCACCTCTAGAATTCCGGAAATGGCAATCTCAGGCTTAAAATTTGAATGTAATTTTTTTTTTTTCTTTTTTCTTCAATTTTTTTACAATTTAAAAAAAATTTAGGGGGATGGGCGCTAGGCCTCCCCTTTTTCAAGATTGAAAAAATCTACAGTTCTAATACGATTCATTACATACGCACACTCATTAACCTGTCTGTGTTACTAAATACTTTTTTTTATTCATTCCAAACAATATAATAAAGTATCGGAATGCGTCATTAATTTATTGATCATTAAAAAAACATACCGTCAAGTAAATAAAGATATCATCATCATCATAATCAACATGATCGTCATCATCATCCCCATCATCAATATCAACTTCTTTATCACCATCATCAGTATCAGCATCATCATCGTCGTTGACGTAGTCGTCATTACCATTATTATCATTGTCATGATTATCATCATCATCAACATCATATCATCGTCATTATCGTTACTGAAGTAATAGCAGTCATAAGCAATCCCAAGACGGTAGTTTTTTATGTCACGTAATCAATGTTGCACTCAAACGATCCCTTTCTTGATTTTATGGGAGAGCGACCGCTATAATTCTGAACACTTACTGAGGCAAATAACGTTCTGGAATAGTCGTTGTGTTGACATCTAACTTTTCCCCAGCCTTTATCCATTGTAGGTCGGCGTGGGCAATGCCATGAGAAGTACAAACCAGCTCATAATCTGACCCCCAAACAAGGTATACATCATCTGGTGACCTTACGTCCAAAACCGGACTGACTGTTGGTCCATAATATTGAATTTGAAAACAATTGTATGTTCAAACATGGACGTTCCAATTATGTCTGCTAAGCAGACTGATGAAATAACAAAGCTATAGTTTTACAATTACTATTGCTAACAACGATTTAAATTGAAACCGTACAGAACTTATATCGATAACATGCAGGATTAAACATTGGAAGATTTAATATCAAATGCATATACAAAGTAAGTCTTGAGGTTTTGAGTCATGTATTGAAAGCATATTATTGCAAATGTTACATGCACAGAATATTGGAAATTAGAGATAAAGTAAGCGCCATAACACCATGTACATGAAAGAATAACTTACGTTCATCACATGTTTCACCCTGTAGGCCTCTCGGACACAAACATTCACCACTGAAGCTGTGACACTGGACCCCGGCCTTACACGTACATGTTCCATTGCAATTCAAGCCAAACTTTTGTGGCGGACAACCTACAACAAACATAATGTTTGTAGCAAAGTCACAAATTGTATGTAGCCCTGATCCTTTGTAAGAATAATGCCTTTTATTTTTATTACCCCCGCCAAGAAGGCTATGTATACACTGCTGTCTGTATCTCTTTCAGTTTGTCATAAAAATTACGCAAACCCCAATGAATGGATCATCATAAAATTTAGTGGAATTGTACATAATAATCAAAGAAAGACACCATTAAAATTTCGGAAGAAAATGTCAAAGACCAATGTCACCTCGGTCAGTAATTCGTCAGGGGGCCAAGTATTAGAAGGGCTACACCCAATGGGCTGGGACTGAATATAAAATAAGGATGTAGCAACTGTATATATATTTGTTGCTCATTATTTTGTTTTTATTTTTTCATATCCAATTATCAATTTGATTTTTACAGTGGGCCAAAAATTTAGCAAGGGGCATGGCCCTCTGGCCTACTTAGCTATGGGGCTGTGTGAGAGCCATTATGGGGCATCTAGGGGTGCATATTCTTAAAATTGCTCCAACAATGGTGTGTCTTAGGTGGGTGTTGCCCCTTGTCGGAGAAGATGGAACTCGTCGGGAAATATATTTTCTCAATGCTATAACATCTACCTGATCATGTAAACATAGTTAAATAATTACCTAAAACTTTGATATTGAAAGAACTAGTTGCAAGATTTGTATTTTGTATTTGTCTTAGCATCAGAAAACAGCTTCCAACAATATGCTCCTTCGCAAAAAGATTTTCAAAATAAAACTGAATTACCAAATCGTCAAACCAATCCGGTAAGTCATGCTTCGGTAACACGGGCCCTTCTGAAATATACCAACGTAAATTATGTGAGTGATACATAAACTATTGTTTATTTTGGTATGTTATTTCCTGTCGCACTTTATCAAAAATTCAAGTCAATTAAAAAATAAATATTGCAATATGTGACAACAATAATGATAACAATTTAGTCCTGCTTTTTTTTACAAACAAGTAAGGGAATAGGAAATTACTATATTCATTTTAAGACAATATTTGAATCTAAAGCAGGCGATGCTGTTGATGATCAAATAGTGGTGGCGTAATGATGGTGATATGATGATGATGGTTTAAGGTTATGATGATAATGATGATGATCATGATTATGATGATGGCTATAGCCATCCTATAGGATGGTGGTGATGATGATGGTTATGATTGATGATTATGCCCGTTATGGTGATGGTACTATTGGTACTAGCGGTGATGGTTGTGACGGTGTTGGTGATTTGTGGTGATAATGGGGAAAATGGTATGATGATGATGACGATGGTAGTGACTGGTTGTAATGATGACAATGCATCCTGAATCAGCATTCCAAATATGTCTCTGTTACTAAAGATAATGCTTAAGAGACACATAAAACATTGATTGGTCTTAATAAACATTTTTAAACATACACTCAAAATTTTAAAAGAATCATACTGATTCACAAATAGAATCTTGCCTCGTGTATTCTATATGAGAATCATTCTATCTCCATAAATTCTGATTTTGAGTCTACCCCAAGCTCAGATCGATGATCAGCAGACGTGATCCCGATTACGCATTGTGCGCGCGTATGGTGCGCGCCCATGGCTGGGAGCCAAGATATGCGCGCGCTTTTTTTTCTCGAAGGGGGAACGAGCTGCCTGGTGCATTCGAAGATTGTTCGTCCTGCTGTTCATTGGTAAGTGCACTACAGAAAAACAAATATTTTAGTTTTACAGTATACTTTAATAATTAGGCCTAATATTCATCCTGTGATCTAAGTTTAGCGTCCATAAGACCTGGCCTATAAAATATAGGCCTAGGGCCTAGGCCTAGGCCTAGCTATAGGGTGAGAGAGGCTGCTAGTACTAGGGCCTAGGGTAGGCCTAAGTACTGCTGTGTAGCAGGCTATGAATGATGATGAATGACGGAGCCAGCGGGGAGCCCAGACAGAAGGGAATGTGTAGTGTGCACAATAATCCCTCCATGGTGCACGCTAATACTCGCTTGTAGGGATGTCACCAGCTTTTTGGGGTGCCGGTCGGCGATCATCCCGCGTTTTCCCGGGGGGGGGGGGGGGGGGGGGTGGTCCCCCGCATAAATTACCGTATATGCTATTCTCAAACTAATATTATAATTAGTGTAAAAATCTTGATTTGTGAGTAACCTTAAAGTCCGTGGGTTTTTGTCCATCTGTAATAAAATTGGCAAATGATAAGTTATCCGTGAGTCTCCTGTCCATCATGACATGTAAATCTCCTTTAGAGTTTTTTGCACAGTGAGTGACTTTAGTTTACACTGTGTAAACTGATCAGTGTTATGCAAAACTGTGTACCTCATCACACCTCCCCTCTGATCTGCACCTATCATTAAGCGCACAAGTCCTATGGAGTATCTGACCATTCAATACACCACTGGTCAGGTGTGAAGTTGAATTAGTGTTTAACATGTTAATAAAGATTTATGACCCATAAAACAACTGAGCATCCTTAAATGAGGCATAATAGTACTGTCATGGATTGATTCTTTACACAGTGTAACCATGGTGTAACTAACAAGGTCACTCACTGTGTAAAGTGGGCTTAAGGGAAATGTACAGGTCATTGATGGACAGGAGACTGAGGATAATTTTTCATTTGCTAATTTTATTATGGATAAGATGCACAAAAACCCAAGGATTTTAAGGTTACTCACAAATCAAGATTTTTACACAATTTTAATATTAGTTTGTAAATAGCATATACGGTAATTTATGCAATAAATACATCATTTGCCATTCATCTGCTGTCGGTATGCTCTTTATAATCCTAAAAATCTTTTAATTTTACACAAACCGTCTATCTAGTAAAAAGGCATATATTTGGGATGGATAATAGATCATAATGCCTTTTAGGTAAATTGTTGAATCAGCTTTCATAACATCATTTCTAAGAAGTTCTAGACTTAACCCCTTTGGAAACATAACATCATGTGCACTCTGGCTGGATTTAGAATTGTCTCAACCAAATCAATTGTTTCTAGCAAGAAATCCAAATCTCCATTTCCAAATGGTATCAATGACCCTATCATCAAAGGAAGCAATCGTAGAAAGCACGCACCAAGTTTGTGAATGTAATTTTCATGGTGCCTGTGGTTGATCCGAGAATATTGATAGCATTTTTTTTAGCAACCTCAGCAAATATAAAGTTGGCAACACCTATGCTCTGCATAGGTAAAATGCCCTTGGTCCACGAAGTGTCCAAGTAATGTCTGTAAAATAGTAGGATTTATTCCCTCAAAAAGGTCATGAAATGCATCAGATGGTAACCATTGAGACACATGATAATAGCTCAATTGGTTAAGAAGAGAGTGCCTGTCGATTCCTTAAACACGAGCAAAATCCATATTATCCGTGCCAGCTTCAGCCTGTGTATTCCAGATTTCCTTGTTAGCTCTTGACTGAAATGTACCTTCATCTTAATTAGGCCCGATAAAAAAAAAAAATTATTAGTTTATCACCCCCTCCCTCATCACTTTTGGGAAAATCCGGATTTTCTTTTTTTTTTCTTTTTTTTTCCCCCAACATATATTTTTATCTAAACCTGGGACATGCTGATATAAAGGTAGTATTTTGTTCATCAATAGCATTCACTACATTTTCTTTTCCACCCCCGTTTTGAAACCGTGCAATGATTTGCTCGTTGTTCAATTCATATTAAATCATGTTTATTTGAAGTCAAAATCAGATAAGGTAACATTGTTTTTTTAATGCCACAAAAATGTTTTTTTCCTGGTAATGAAGTAAAAACATTTTGTTTTTTAGTGTCATATTAATTGGTTACAACAACAGTCGTGATAATTTCAAAGATGTCAACTGTCACTGATTTTTGTTAGGAATTATCAAAGTATTAACACCAATAAATATTTTAATTCATTACACATATGATAATATATCCTCTCTGTGTCCTGGCCTTTATATGAATTGACTAATTTGTCGCTCACATCACAAACTGTACTGTCAAAGTAAATTGTGAATTTAAAGAAGTGCGATTAAACGAGCGCATATTTTTATTCTTTTCCACTTGAAAAGTCCATAACAGCAACAGCGCATTTTTGGCACAATTTTTAATTGCACAAACTAACTAAATCCACTTTGATTGTGTTAGTTTGTGATGTGAGTTACGAATTGTGTATCCCAATCAGCTTCAGTCCTGAATACTTTAGTAGTTGACAGCTCCTGGCAGTTTACATCAGTTGTAGAAATTTGACTCATGTCTTCCTCTACTTTCCCTAAAAATTTGTGTTTCATATACTCTCATTTTTGTGCATTTATTTACGGTATGGTACTATCTTCATATTATTGCCAACAAGTGTGTCTTTTTAAGTCTTTTTTTTTTAATCTTCTATAGTATTTCTTCATTTTGTGTGTCCATTTTCCATAGGAACCACAGTTCTGCAAAGTGCTCCCAATATTTTCATTTTGTTGGCTATAGCCCATCATCTGCGGTACATTTATCAACACCTATTTTGAAATATGAACACTATCCCATTACTGAAAGTGAGAGACCTTTAAATTTAACTTCTAAATAAGTGTATTTCATTTTTAAAAAGTATGTTTGTGGATGCATCTGATCTGAACTTCAGCATTTTGTTTCAGCTTTTTGCAGAATTTGTGAGACTCACTGGCCGTAATGCAAAAGATGAGATAAACTGTAGGACAGATACATATCTTTTGCCCCTATCACGACTGCCTAGGCCGAGAGGGAAATTTGAGAAGCAGCAACCACAAATTATTACTGAAATAAAGGAAAAAATGCTGGAGGTTGACAATGACGATGATCGAAAATGTAAGCACACATGCAGTAATATTTTTTTTTTTTAAATTTTATTTTGAGTGCTCTTCTCTCCACAGATATTTAAAAAAAATATGATAGGCCTGTTTAAACTTATGAATCCACTTGAATGCTTACAATTTACATATATTACAAGGACCAAATAATAATTTGAGACATTGTAGTTTGATAAATTTGTGACCACTGGATTACCAGAAGCTTATACTACAGGCAATTCCATTAATGTCTGGGCTTTACTAAAAGATCACTGTTATTATTGTATCTGTTTTTCTAATTACATTTTTTTTTTTATTTGTAACTTTTTTATGGCAGATGCTGCTCACTGTTTGGGGATTTTGAGTCTTCCATTTCAACTAAACGAAGATATCAAGCTTCTAATTCATGAAGAACCGGGAACAGCTTCTAGGAAGACATTCCCTGTGATTGTGTTCACTGGTCCGCTCATTGACTGTAAGCAATTTTCTGTATGGGCAGAAGAAGAGATGCTAGGGGAGGTATCTTCTTTTATTGAAGCTGTTGCCCTACTGATAACCTGTTATTTTGTGTTTAACATTGCCTATCCTCCAAGAATTGGAGTGACTATGACCTTCATCCAAAAGGTATTGGTGGGTCACGATGATCAATTAAAGTCGACCCCGAAGTTGCTGTCCCTTTTGGGACGAATAACCAAACATTAAAAAAAATCCATCTGCTTTAAAATAATATTTAATTGAAGAGTTATACTTTAATAAATTAATTATTAACCACCGGCATACTTCCCTGCATCTCGGTGATAATTTATGGAGTGTGCTTTACTAATTTCGCTGTAGATCTAGGCAGCAGTGATAGTGGCTCCAGTCTACTTACCGGTATCTAAAATTGTGCTTTTGATACCGGTCCAAATAACTGGCAAATTTTTTTTTTATTTAAATTTAATAATGACATAATTAGTCTGCTTGTCAAATTTACTTGGGTCTAGGCAGCTGTAATTAGCAATAGATATGTAGGTGACCCACTGTTGTATCGAATACTTGCAAAACATTTTATTTGGGTGAGAATCCAGGTAACTAGCCTGTTTCCAAAACCACTAAACTACGGAGCTTGTGTTTGTGTTATACTTACAAATGCTATTTCTATGTGATTTTGAATTGGGAAAATATCATAGCAGTTATATTTTGCACTACCATTCATTTGATCCATATTGCTGAATAAGTTTGTTATGCTGTGTTGTGTGGAACTAATATTACTGGAGTTTGTACTTAAAAATTTGTATTTGTGTTTTTTCCTAATGGTTATAGCGCACTCAGCTATTTGATGTTAATAAAAGTAATAAACTGTTGAAATACTCTAATCTTTGTGTGTTTTTTCAGATGAAAATGGGTATTCGATCAGGGATCACTTTTGCCACCGTGAAGTTGGTTACATTCTTCATCTGCAGACATGCTAGACATAATATTTTCACACATATTCTACATAACAAAACTTACTGCATTTTTGAGATATACATATGAAAAACTTTGTCGCATCTGAGTTGCCACGCCCACGCACACGCCGTTAAGCACAGGAACAGAGCCTAGAATTTTGCACACAATGGGATAAATTCGGCCACAGTTGTCCAGTGTAGTAACTTTTTCTATGGGTTCGCATGGTATTTGAAAGTAAATTTCATCTACTTTCATGACATGATTAAAGTGGTTCTCAGATAGAATCACTTTGATTCTGTGATTGAATCATAATGGTTCTATGATAGTCAATTTGATTCTGTTACAGAATCACATTGATTCTATCATATATTCATTTTAGATATCGTGACAGAATCGTATTGATTCTATTGTAGAATCAATTTGATTCTGTGACACAATCATATTGATTATATAATAGGATCACAGTTCATACCTATTTGATTCTAGTCCTGAATCAAAATGATCGTCACCCATCATCAATTTGATTCTAATGAAGAATGCATTTAGGCACCGCTGCAGGATTCTATTTGTGAATCAGTACGATTCTTTTAAAATTTTGAGTGTAGTTAAAGCCTAGTGGGAACATAAATCTAAGATTTAAAAAAAAACCAAACCACGTACCGTTTACCGAGCGATTTCCAACGCGTACTATCGCTGAATACGGAACGCTTGTTTGAATTAATGGATCAGGAATCTTGCACTGCATTATAAGATTGGGGATCGCTTCGGAAAAGGATTCCGATAGAGTTACATTTTTAATGTTCATATAGATGTTTAGAGTACCTGTAATTATTAAAAGTTTCTTTTCATGGATACGGTAACTATGATAGACGCTACAACAACTAGGCTCTACTAGCCTACTATTAGAGTTCCACTGCTGCTATAGATTCAGTGCTACAGCACTACCTAAGAGCTTAACTGTTTCCTTGTGCTACTACTAGCGAACTACCGCTGTGCTGCTACTACTGCTACAGCTGCAAACATGCTAGGTCTAGTACATGCATTTTTATACCGTTAACTTAACATGAAAACATTATATAAATTTATGTAATGCTCAGACATATTTTCAAAATATCAAGAAAATATCAAGTATCGGTATATGAAGATGTAAACTTTTTTTAGTACGAATGAATTCTCACATGGTTGATCAATGAAATACAGCACATCAAAGCTATTTTCGGTTGTTTCAAAATCTCGGTTTAGTGTTGATATGTTGACATCAGCATATAACAAGGAAGTATTCTTTAAAAAAAAACCCATCAATTAAGGTTATTGCATCAACTAACCAACTGATTAAACAACTATGAGGTAATATGTTTATGTTTGATAATGAAAACAGATTTTGATGAGACGAGGTATGGTATTCGTGCAGTCCTGAGTAGACTTGCTCCGAGCTCCAAGTCTATGTCTTCTTTTCTATTGTACAGTTCCAGTACGGTGCAAGATGTTATTTGTTATCAAATTGAAAATCACGTGTACATTATAACATCGAATTGCTAAGAGTGAGCGTAAATTGACGAAACAGAAAAAATATGATAGAACAAATAAAAGTGGGAAATTATACCAACAAGTTCCGTCTTCATGTTTTTTGTTCATCACTGTATTTCCTCAGTAATAGTGTCCAGTGCATACTTAATATTACACCTTTAATAAAAAGTTGACGTACCAGTATTTTAGGAAACGAGGTCACATAAATGCATAATATTGGACGGCTTTTTCAAATTGATGAGAGGCTTGGATTGTGTGCAAGGCGATTTGAACCTTGTGCAGTTTTAAACCGCGTGAACAACAACAATGTGCAAATTTTGCAAGAAAGTTTGTAGTCAGCAGAAAGTTTTGCAATATTTTAATCTAAATTTGGAAACTTTATTTCAAATACCTAAAACCATTATTATATCTATATCCATCAATACATGTAAATTCGTCCCTATTTTGTTTAGACTTTCTCGCCAGTGGCCTGATATTATTCTTTTTGTACATGGTTAACAACCGGTTATTCGCAAATACATATTTAATTGTAGCTATCCATTATATTGTAGCATATTACTTTAAAAATACTTACAATTATTTTTGGTATGCTGTATGTATAATTGCAACCTACCTCCGACTGAATGTTAACCCGTTCCCGGTGACAGTAGCCATGGGCTGAAGAACATGTATAGATGATTGCCACCAAAATGATAGCAAACATTAATTTCGGGACTTGCATTGTATACTGTGATACCAGTTACCGACCACGTTCTGGGCGTAGTGGAATGTTTGAAACGTACTTGGAAACCAAATGTGAACAGCCCGGAACAGATTAGATGAGGAAATAACCGCTTATAATAATCGGCCTATCCTACACCTCTCAGTCTGCATGAACCTACTGCGACCTGAGCATATTATAACGCAGAATATTAGAGCCTGAGAGAATGATATACTCAGTAGATGTGTTTTCTAAGCTTGTAAGTCTCTCTTGTATTTTAAGTGTAGTTACAAGCTTAAGCTATGATTTATCATGCTTTCGAGAAAGCCCATCGGATCCGAAACTTGTAAGTAGTGACCACTAAAATCTCGTCAAATCTGCTATTTTTAGGCTTATTTACTGACCTGAAAGCAAATGACCAGGCCATGGTTTAAGAACACAGGGATTCCAAGCCTCCCGCAACATGTAGTCATTGCTAATTGTTGATTCGTTTGCCAAACATTAAAACTTCCTTTTACTGATCAAAAAGATAGGTGCGTTTTTCTATCCGTAATTGCGGATAGAACTGAAATTTAGAGCTAAAATTTATTTATAGAAATAAGCCTACGAACGTATCAGATAAAACACACACTTAATATATGAATTACTTTGTTTTTAATAAATTTGGTTTTTCTTTTAAAATTTGCAATAAAGGGAGGTGATAATTGGTGTTTTAACTTTTTTTAGATCAACAGTTTAGCTACCGTGGACCTGAACTATACTAACCTAGGAGTCACACCACAACTTGTTCGTCAAGCGCATTATGTGGATGGAATGTGTGAGCGATAGTTTTTTTTTTAAATACGTTTATGTGTTTTCTACCACCATATTTCGTTGATTATTGGTTTCATTACTAAATTCATTTATAATAAAATTAATCGAAAATGTATTGATTTCAAAAATAGACCTTAGCCTTAGCCTGGACGTAGGCCAACTGCGTATAATCCGTAACATATAACTTGTGATATAACATATCGGTATATTTTGATATACCCTCATCAGTGTCGCAGCCAGCTATTGGGATAGTCCCACACAAATTTGTTGATGGGTCCAAAAGAATGGGTCCACATTTTTAATAATGGGTTCAATTTATGCAATTTTATGCATAAAAGGAGTTCATTTTGGAAAATGGGTCCAGATTTCCTATTTTAGCCTAAAATATATAGAATTTAAAGAAAATAGGCCCAGATTTTTTCATATTTTTGCGTAAAATGGGTTAACTTTTAAGAAAATGGGTCCACATTAGTTGAATTTACGCGTAAAGTTGATCCACCTTGATATTGTCTCGCACTGTTCGAAAATCCTGGCTACGACATTGGCCCTCATAAACACTTTATACGATGTATAAACATCCATTATACACCAGTATATAGATATATGTACATGTACAAACAAATAGATAAATGTGTTCTTATTCGAGCATTCTTATTGTTTTTCTATTTGTTGAAGGGCTGTGCTTGATTCAATTCAATTGAATTATTTATTCGATCAATAATCAACAAACTGTACAGACATAAAATTTAAAAAGGAACAAGGACGAAAACATAGAAGTGGAAAGACGTTTAAAACTATAAGATCTTGCCAGAATATTGTTTATCAAACAATATGCTTAAGAATACGATTATTATAGCATCACGTTCCTATTCTAGCACTGTTATAATAATAGTATTATTACTATTGTTATTTATCTATTTATTTGTATCGTGTTTACGGTATTACGCAGCTTAATTTTAATACTATTTACTATGTATACCTGTATATGGATATTCGTGTCAGAACACATTGTATTTCTATAGGTGGTATCCATGTTTTCCTGAACATCAAAAAAGATTACGTGTTCCTACAGTATTTTCTCAAAAATTCTCCATTACAAGTTCATTGTGAATGGCAGGACCAAGAGATTAAATCTTCGCTTCCTGAGTTTACTTTGACGTCACTTGGTCACAGTGGTATGTTTTAATAAGTCCCCTAGAAGTTTAAATCATTATCTGAACCTACTTCTTTATATGGACGTACACTTACCTGAAAGTTTCACCTTGCATCGACCACCAACAAACAATAACGTGCCCCTCCTCTGGGTTTAGAGTAATGAATTCATTAAGTGTGACTAGTTTTCTTTTGAATTTCTTTTTACTTTATTAAAAATTGCCTGAAAATGGCGGTAAATGCTCGTCGATGGTAAAAGCACGTTCCTATATTGTTTCGACCTCTAGAATTGATATTAATATTAGTAGTGGTATCTTTCTTTTTTTTATTCCGGAATTGCCTGAAAAAATATTATTAGAGGAACAAAATATACTGTAAAGTAATGACGTCGAATTCTTAAATGCCCTACAACTGTCTTTGTACAATTAAATGATGTCAGTGTAGGAGAAAGGAAATTAAACAAGAGTGGAAGGCAATTGGGATGGGGATGTTTCAAACCATTACGATTTTTGCAAAATAATAAATACAAATAATAATTTTAATTTAATAGTTGTTGCAAGTTATTTCAATGTCTGATTAGGATTTTTTCGTTGTAGTAGTAGAACGCGACGTAGCTGCAAAAGCATCCATTACGTCCTGTGGGAACCACCGTTGATCTATATATTTTCATAATGTATAGCCATAGTAGTAAATATTTGTTTGCTTGATATTTTTTCTTCTAGAATACATCGATAAACCTTTTCGTGAGAATGTTCCCTTCAACTTGCCATGGCATCACAACATGATTATACACACATTCTTCCCACATCTTGTCGTTGAGGGCAGAATTACAGGAATATGCACTGCTGATATTTTTACAAAATTTGGCGGAGTCAGTAAAACACCGAAAGTGTCTTATACTATAGAAATTAATGGTATGTATTATTATTAGTATCATATTGGAAATATTAGGCCTATATGCAAAGTGCGTATGACCTTGAGTAAGTTTGAGTGGTAAACTTCAAAGACATCAAAAAGTATGTACCGCGCAGCGTAGCAGTTTAGAGGGAACAAGTCATATATGTACGTACGAGAGTAGCGCACTAGAGTAATAACATTTCTTTGGTATAGGTGTGAAAGCTAGTGTGGAGAAGAGAAATAAATGTCCTTAAAGATTATTTTAAGTTTTACCATCAATTATTATAATAACTAGCCTATTGTTGTGAAGGTAATAACATGTTATAGACTGCAGCCCCAATATAATGTACTATACCAAAGAGATAAAAATAGGAATGAAACGTCACCGAATGTTGAAAAAGAAAATTTTAAAAGAAAAAAGTTCAGATAAAGGTGAAGTATATATAATTATGCGCAACATTAGCAAGTGACAGCTCAATAAAATTATAGGAAGCCAACTCAAAACAGAAAGAGACTATTTTTTCAACTATAGGCCTATTATTAATTCAAAAAAAAAAACAAAAAAAAAAAAAACGGTTTTAATACATAAGGTGAAAGGAGCAACAGATCATAATTATAGCAATGAAATGCAACTCCCAGGAGCTTGCTTCCACGTCATCTAATCAAAGATAGAGTTTTAAAAAAAATAACATCATTCGGGTTAAAAATACGTCGGTGAGAAAGAGAGATGTGAAGCTATTTAGGCATGCACATGGTAGATATACGTCACTGATAAATTTGCATATGTGTTGTTATAATAACTTCCACTTCCAGAATGATTTGTTAAGTAGGAGGTCTGTTAGTGATCATAACAACCAGTTAGGACCACATCATCGGTTTGTAATAATTGAATTGATTCAGTAAAGTTTTGATCTAATGCACTGTCCAAACTATCAAATTATATTTGACAAAACATAAATATGGTCATGATGACATCACATCATGACCATATATAAGCACATCATGACTATATATGGACATAAAATACAGCTTTTTGTCAAAGACAATTTGATAGTGTGGAAACAGTTTTGGGCTTGGCATGTTTTCCTATTTCTGTTGTAGTTGACAGACCGCTGCATTATTTGCTGATTTTGCGTCACCAAAATAATAACATAACTTTTTGTTGTTTCAACAATAGGATGTCCGCCACGTATGTATGGAGCCAGATGTAGTAACACATGCAACTGCACACAAAACATTCAGTGTCACAGTTTCAACGGGGCATGTATATGCCCAAAGGGATTCGCTGGAGACTACTGTGAGAAACGTACGTTCAAATTGTTTTAAGACATTACCGGTAACTCCTTACATTTCAGTGAATTGAATACTTAGTATAAGCATTGTTCTTGTGGATCTTTTCGTCCCCGTTTCATCAATCTACTCTCCTTCATAAATATACATTATGGGCCTACTGCATTTATCTTTCGGAAGACACATTTTAACCATTACCATCGTGTACACAGACCGTGTATCACATCATATATAGACTATCCGCCCTTTGAAGAACGCACTTTCTTCACTATTTATTAAACTAGGGTGTTGACTTCAGATATACTGTCCAATTGGAGCTGTACTGCTCCTGAAGCGGACCCCCATTGAGGATTTAATTTAATTGCCACTTCTGCTTCTGGTGGGTAAAGCCGACCTCCTACAGGGGCGGATTTTAAAAAAGGAAGAAAGAAAAAGAAATTTTTGATCGCCCAAAACGCCTCGAGCTTATTTTCGATCGTTTAGGAAAAAAAATCCATAACCCCGGACCCCCTAGGGTAGTGTTTTCTTTTCGTATCCCCTGTCCCAAAACTGTAAGAGTATACAGGAGGGGTAGAAATAGAGCCGGATGCTAGGCAAGGTCCACCACTGCTGTTTAAGACGCGCAGCGTCAGTCATGAGCAGGCGTGGCGTACCGCATCAGGCCGCATTCATCGTTTGAATTTTTTATGTAATAAATTAATCTCTTTTTTACATTTGCAGTCGATCCATATCTGGAAATTGGTGTTGAGAGTTTGTACATTAAATGGGGAACACCTCTTACAGTGAACTGCACAGCATATGGATTTACACAAACAAACTTACCAGTTATATGGAAGCGAAATAATGCCGTTTTAAAAAATACTACAAGACGATATCTCTCTGTAGATTATGT